GCATCTCCCATTGAGTTCTGGGGTGAGCATCTCCAATGCCCCCCTCCTTATCACTACAGACAGTTCCCCCATGATTTATGCAGAGGGGTTAGGAGGGGTCCCCTCTGCACCCCCCGTACTGAGGGACTTTACGCCCATAACAGTAGTTCAGCCTGAGGTATGTTCCTAGACAATATCACAGTGTAATAATAATTAATAAAGTATTTTTGGTAGAAGCTGAAAGTGTATCATGTCCCCCACCCAACCCAGGGATAGAACCCACGTTCTTCCGCCTCCCTGCTCCAACCCACCCCTCTCCTCTCCCTGAGTCAGGGAGAGATCCCAGCACAAGAGTTTTAGCTCAAAAAAATCAGAACTTTTATTGGGTGTCAAAAACACCAATTTAAAAAAAAAATCTCGTGACACAATTACAAAGAGACATGAGTGGGTACTTGTGAGGGAGAAGCATTCCCCTCCACTGGCTAGACTCAGAATTGCTCCTCTGTGTGTCATATGCCCTGTACTGCTAACAGAGATTCCCCGGAGTTCAAACGGAAGCAACCCATGTTTTTAAGGCCGAGAACCTCCTTGCTGTACGTGAGGCTACCCGCTCACCAATGAAATGCCAACCACGAGCGGATACAGAGTAGAGAGAGACAAATGTGTTGTACAGTAGTAGCAGCTAGGCTTACTGTAACAATCAAGCAGTCACAGCCACTAAAATCGGTACATTTATAGGCAATCCGAGGAAATTACACAAGTAACAAGACATTTGACAATGACTTTTAAGGCATCAAGTTTTAGGCTTCATTACAGCCTGATGCAGCATTTCTGGGCGGCTCTTCCCAAGCTGTCCAACCCCCGGAGGCAGCTGCATGTCTGCACTGGCTTGGAGTCTCACGTCACTTTATAAAGTGCTTTTGGAACATGTGTTTTGGTTTCCTTCCGTAAACCTACAGCAATTTCACCTTGATAAGGCCTCAAGAGGTCTCCAACTATTAGAAGCCCCAAATTCAAGCCAACATTCAGCTAGTCTGTTAATTAGTATAAATAATCCAAATTCATGTTTCTTTTGGACATAAACACAAGGGGATTTTAAAACATCTATTAATGCTGTTCACATGCCAACTGTAATGGATTTGGGGGCCTATGACGTAAACCCGTGGACCTTAGGACTCCTGGGTTCTATCCCCGGCTCTGCAAGTCCCCTGGCTGTGACTCAGTTTCCCCATAGGTAAACTTGGGCTAATTATATTTCTCTCTCTTTGAAGTGCTTTGAGGTCTGTGGATGAGAGCTGGGTGTTATTGCTGTGATAATTATCATCACATCTGTCACAAGAGGAACTTTCCCCATCTCGGTTTGGGCCAGAACTGATGTGAGGAGGAAAATCGACTGACCTCATCAACCCCTCAAAAAAAAAAAACAAACAAAAAAACCCCTTTCGAATCATTTATCTTTGCTATGGAGGGGAAGAAATAGGGTTCATAGGAAATGTAGGACAGAAAGTTCATGGGCCATGTTATTGGACAACAGGAAGTGCATTGGCCATCCTCCAGGCGTAGAGGAAGTGCATGGCCTAGCCAGTAGGCCAATAATTTTATTTGGGCCCCATGCATATGATGGATTCCCTGAAGCAGACACGAACAGGAAGTGTGCGGTCAAGTCAACAGGAAGTGTATTGACCATTCTCTAGGCCAACAGGAAGGGCATGGTCCAAGCCATAGCCCAACAGGAAGTGCATTGGCTATCTACTAGGCCAACAGGAAGTGCATGGTCTAAGCCATAGCCCAACAGGAAGTGCATTGGCTATCTACTAGGCCAACAGGAAGTGCATGGTCTAAGCCATAGCCCAACAGGAAGTGCATTGGCTATCTACTAGGCCAACAGGAAGTGCATGGTCTAAGCCGAAGTGCATTGGCTATCGTGCATTGGCTATCTACTAGGCCAACAGGAAGTGCATGGTCTAAGCCATAGCCCAACAGGAAGTGCATTGGCTATCTACTAGGCCAACAGGAAGTGCATGGTCTAAGCCATAGCCCAACAGGAAGTGCATTGGCTATCTACTAGGCCAACAGGAAGTGCATGGTCTAAGCCATAGCCCAACAGGAAGTGCATTGGCTATCTACTAGGCCAACAGGAAGTGCATGGTCTAAGCCATAGCCCAACAGGAAGTGCATTGGCTATCTACTAGGCCAACAGGAAGTGCATGGTCTAAGCCATAGCCCAACAGGAAGTGCATTGGCTATCTACTAGGCCAACAGGAAGTGCATGGTCTAAGCCATAGCCCAACAAGAAGTGCATTGGCTATCCACTAGGCCAACAGGAAGTGCATGGCACAGGCCATAGGCCAACAGGTTGTGCGTAGCCCCCTTGATATGTTAACAGGAAGTTCATGGCCCAGGATTGAGGATCACAGGAAATCCATGTCCTAGCCAACAGGAAGTATGCTGGCCATGCTCCGGGCCAACAGGAAATGTATGGCCCAGTCTCTATACTCACAGGCAATGCCTGGCATGACAGCAGCCCCTAGGCAGGGTATTTGGCCTTGAGTAGTGTGAAGTCCCTCACGGTCCGGTCAATCCAGCCCTGATACTCCCGGCACACCACATAGCCCCGGCACTTCCTCTCAAATGCCCCCACCCCAGTCGCCTCCAAGCTCAAGGAGTCTGCAGCAGGGGGCGCTGGGATTCCCATGGTAGCCATAATGGAGGTCAGGTTGGCCAGGAGGCCTCGGGTCCGGGCCCGGGCTGCGCCCAGCATGGCCAGCAGCTCAGAGCAACCGGGGCACAGCTCGGCTTGGTCATCCCACACCAGCTGGAGGAAGGCGTCAAAGGCAGCGTACGCCCCGTAGCTCCGTGTCAGCCGCTCTGCGTCGCCCATGGTGCGCCAGGCCAGGAACGGCAGGGGGGCCACTGGCACGCCCGCCCACCGCAGCCCCACAGCGCTGAAACCAGGGTCGCTGAATGGGGAGCCCTGGGCGCTCAGCTGGGAGGGGAACACAAACAGTGGGGAGTCAGGGCATGTGCTGCCTTCGCCTAGCGGCCTCCCCACCTCAACTCCCATCCTTCCCCCAATACCTGTCTCCTCCCCCAGCTCTGTCCCAAGATTGCATCCTATCCTCCCTGCACACCCCCTTCCAACACCCCCCAATTTCCCCACCCTGGAATGGGGACTGTATGGACATGCAGAAGCAGAATGCCAAGGGGAGGGCATCTCTGGGCGCGATGGGGGGATGCCTGGGGTGGGAATTCCCATGGGGCTAAAGGAGCAGCCTCAGACCCTATCCCATCACCGTCCCGCACTCTGGCATTCCCAGGGTCCAGGCATACCAGCACATCCAAGCTGCAGAATTGCTGTCTGGGCCACATCCCACCGCCCCCACCATCCCTGTGCTCTGGGCTATGGCTGTGATCCAGGCCTGTGGACTGGGTAATTGGCTGGGCTGGGGATGGGGATGGAGCCAAGGGACCCCAGGTGGGGCAGCTGAAACACCCTCCCACACATACGCACACACCCACACCCACACACACACACACACTCTCCAGTCGTCAGGGGGAGAGGGACCTTGGAGGACTCACCAAGAGGCTGGAGTGAAATCTGTCATCTGTGTTTTCCCTGAGTGGGGTGACTGACTTGGGGGGGATGGGACAGGAGGCCTTCCCCCTCTGGGGCGCTAGAGACAATGACTTCCCGGACCTCCTGAGGCCACAGAGCCCCTGGCACCCTGGGGGCCCAGCACTCACGTAGGTGTTGAGCAATGCTGTAGAGTTGGCCTGCAGCAGCCGGGCCAGGTTGTAAGTCTGGGCGATAGTCGTAGCGCTGGGATTGGGGTCGGGCCGGGCCAGCTGGACCAGGACCAGGGACACAAGCAGATTCTGGGCTGCAGGAGTAAGGGGGGAGAGAGGCTTAGTTGGCGAGTCAGCCATTGGCCTGCCCAGTCACAGCACTTTCCCTCAGCGGGAGACACACTTTTGCTGGGCTGCCATCATCTCTCTGCTCTGGGCAATGGCAACCACTTCTTGCTCTGCTGGGATCCCACCGCCCCCACCATCCCTCTGCTCTGAGCAATGGCAGCCCTCTGGGGCGCTAGAGACAATGACTTCCCGGACCTCCTGAGGCCACAGAGCCCCTGGCACCCTGGGGGCCCAGCACTCACGTAGGTGTTGAGCAATGCTGTAGAGTTGGCCTGCAGCAGCCGGGCCAGGTTGTAAGTCTGGGCGATAGTCGTAGCGCTGGGATTGGGGTCGGGCCGGGCCAGCTGGACCAGGACCAGGGACACAAGCAGATTCTGGGCTGCAGGAGTAAGGGGGGAGAGAGGCTTAGTTGGCGAGTCAGCCATTGGCCTGCCCAGTCACAGCACTTTCCCTCAGCGGGAGACACACTTTTGCTGGGCTGCCATCATCTCTCTGCTCTGGGCAATGGCAACCACTTCTTGCTCTGCTGGGATCCCACCGCCCCCACCATCCCTCTGCTCTTGTCTATCACAGGCTCCTCCTCTAGCAGCCTCTTTTGCTGGGGTTCTACCCGCACAACTCTGGGTTATACCGGCCATCTGCCCCCTGTAGGAATCCCTGTCTGGCTTCTCTGCTATTTAGTCTGCCTTATGGATCCCCAATCCAGTGCAGAGCCATATTCCACTCTGGAATTTCCATGTGACTCTCTCAGTTGGGCCCCTGCATTTGCCAATAGCCAGAGGATGGGGAGCGATTAAATCCAGAACCAGATTTACACAGTGGTTTGGATTGGAGGCTGTGGATCATACATTACCCACTGGGAGGGCAGTGGGGTGTAGGGCGTTAGAGAGGGGGTGGGTTGGAAGCCAGGATTTTGAGGGTCCATCCTTGGCTCTTGAAAGGGAGCAGGGTCTAGTGATTAGAGCAGGGAAGCTGGGAGCCAGAAGGGAGTGGGGTCTAGTGGGTTAAGAGCAAAGGTGCTTGAAGCTCAGTTAAACCTTCCCAGAGACCCTGCTGCAAGGGCACTTACCTAGGGTGGGCGGCATTTCTGGAGTGCTGGGATCCAGCGGGTGCCAATCAAGATTTAGCTCCCAATCTATTTTCCTGTCGCCCCCTAGTGGTGTGTCCCAGCAACGTCGCCGGTTGCCCCCTGGTGGCTGATCGCAGCAACGTCTCCTGTCACCCTCTAGTGGCTGATCCCGGTATCTCCTCTTCTTGCCCCCCAGGGCTGATTCCAGCCACCCCTCCACCCTCACTGAATTTGCTGTGTCAGCAGGGAGCTTCTCATGTGCTCCTCTTGATCCAGGCTTCTGCTGTTACCTGAGCCCCAGGTGTGTAGCTGCTTTATAGGCAGGCTGGGCCCTGTCCCCACCTGCCCCCCCCAAGGCACACGCCTCCTATGGGGTGGGGAATGGGACAGGGAGGGGGGCACACCCCAGCCTGAAAGTCCCAAAGTCACATGATGGGGGGAGTTATATCCTGAAGATTCTTCCTTCTTCTCTGGCCTTTTGTCAGTCTCGGCTTCTTGCCTCTGCTGCTTCCTTCCCCTATGCTTCCCCATGCCAACCCCTCTAATCCCCCTTTCTCGTTCCTCCCCTCCCCCCAGGACTCCCATCCCCCTCCACCAGCCTTGAGCAGCGTGCCCCTGGGCCCGAGGCGGGGGGGGGGGGGTCTGGAGGCCAGGCCCTGACTTGAAGGGAGAAATGTGGGAGGAGAAGGGGCCAAGGCTGGGGGAGGCAGTGCAGGAGGGGGCAGGGCGGGGTCCCTTTGTGACAGATACAATAGGTGCCCAGGCTGTGCCAGCCGACAGGGATTGGCGTTGCTGCACGTCCTCACCAGATCGGGTTTCCAGCCACAATGTGAGCTGGGGGCAGGAAAGAAGCCAGCTGGGGAGAGGAGCGTGGAGCCAGAACTCCTGGGTTCTGTTCCTGGTTCTGGGGGCGGGGGGAGTGGGGTCTAGTGAGCGAGAGCTGGGGACAGCCAGGACGTCTGGCTCTGGTTCTGGGAGTGGGGTCTAGTGAGCGAGAGCTGTGGGGCAGCCAGGACGTCTGGCTCTGGTTCTGGGAGTGGGGTCTAGTGAGCGAGAGCTGGGGGGCAGCCAGGACTCCTGGGGTCTAGCTTGTGCCCTGGGAATGGAGCAGCAGCTGCAACTGAGAGGTCCCAGCAGAACAAACGAAAAACCAAAGTGTTCCTAGCACTGGCTCACTCTTTGCATGCACGCATCTCTCTCCCCAAGTGCATCCATCAGCACCCCTCAGCCTGCATCCCCATTACCCCAGCCTGCCAGCTCTGGGGGGGGGGTCCTGTGTGCTCAGCTACAAGACTCACAGACCCATCAATTGTGACTCATGGTGAGAAGAGGAAACAGGAATCACATCTCTTCCTGTGAAGGTCCAGTGGGGCAAATCCCTCCCCACTCCAGCACAGGGGTTTGCTCTGAGTAGTGGGTGATTTCCAGGCAGCTTTGGCATGAGAGGACTCTCCCATGTCCAGGACTGAACATCCCAAGGCATCCTGGTCTTGCCCACTCATTTGCATAGTGAGGTCACTTCTTTGCCCTTCCCAGACCCCCCACCCCACTGACATCAAATACAGAATTACTTCCTTCCCCGCCACACACACCTCCAGTCGCTGGTGGGGAAGCTGAGTCAGCTGAAAGCAGGGAAGGCCTGGAAGCCAGAACTGTTTGTGGAAGAGATGTTCCACAAACACCTCTTGTGCAAGAGCACGTCCACACTGCCACATCCGCATTGCCACGGATGCTCTTGTGCAAGAAAGCTCTGACGGCCATTCTGTGAATGGCCATCAGAGAGCACCTGTGCTTTTGCTGATAGGGGTTTCTTGCGCAGAAACCCCTGTTGTCCGTCCACACGCGCCTTTTTGTGCAACAGCTCTAACACAAAAAGGCGTATTCCTTGTGGAAAGAGTAACTCTTGCGCAAAAAGCCCTGTCTTCTGACGATCGACTGTACTTTTTCTTGTGCAAAAATGCACTTGTAATGTGGACACTCTGCGAGTTTTTGTGCAAAAACGGCTGGTTTTGTGCAAAAACTCTGCAGTGTAGCTGTAGCCCTGGGTTTTATTATTGGCTCTGGGAGGGGAACAGGGTCTGGTGGGTTACAGCACAGGAGTGGGACTCAGCATTCTAATGTTTTCCACCCATGTGTGTGGAATAAATTTTATTAGGTGCACCAAGGCATGCTAGCTGTGGGGCTCTGCTAAGCAGCTGAGTGGCCGCCCAAGCACTCAGCTTACAGGGAATATTGGCGGGAGCCAGGATTCCTGGGTTCAGTCCCCAGCTCTGGATGGCTAGTGGCGTTGAATAGGGGAGCTGAGAACTGGGACTCCTGGGTTCCATTCCCACATCCAAAACCAACCGCCCCCCCAACTTTGTCCACACCCGGTACCATCTCAGGTATGGGGCTGGGAGCCTGCAGAGAGCACATCCCCTGCTACAAACAGGAACTGTAAGAGTGTCTAGCCGGAAATCATAAAGTGTTTTACGATGGGGTAAAAGCAAACAATGCACCCAGCCTCTTTCCTCTCTGCCTGGAACTTAGCACCTGCCAGGACTCTCAGCCGGTTTTCCCCTCACCGTCACCTTTATTTATTCTAGAGAATTTCCTTTTTGTAAACCTGCCTGCATGGGGACTGGAAAGTGGCATGAGAGATATGGGTCTTTCCCCTGGAGGGGGTGCTGGGTCCGATCCAGCCCCAGGGCAGGGGACCGCTCCCCTTAGGGGGCGCTATGGGGCAGGCGAGCTGTCTGGCAGAACTGGTCTGACCGGAACAGCTTATGGTGTATTCTTTCCAAGAATCCAGACCCAGGGGGTGGAGGCAGCCAGGTGGCCGGGCATGGGGCGGGGAAGCACCTGGCACCCGACAGGCAGGCCGTTTTTCCGCCTCTGTTGCTTCGATTTCCGCCTGGCCCGACCCACCCGGGAGCTGCAGGATCCCGCTCCTGTTTTCCATTCCACTTGTTACTGTGGGGGTGAGAGTCCTGGACCCCTGGGTTCTCTACCTGGCTCGGGAAGCAGAGTGGGGTCTAGTGGGTAGGGGTAGGGAGCAAGGACTCCTGGGCTAGCTCCCAGGCTCTGGAGGGGCTATTAGAACAGGGCTCCTGGTATCTTTCTGTGCCCTGGTTCCTGCCTCAGTTTCCCCTGTTGGGCTAGAACCCAGGAGAGCTGGCTCCCAGGTTTCCTTGCGTAACCTCCCCAGCTTCAGGCCATGGGGGTCCTTTGGGAACCGCTCACCCCAAAGGCAGGTGTGCTGGGAGGCGTGAGTTTGCACAGCCCCCTCCTGGGCACACTGTGCTATGACAGCCCATCACCCCCTGCCCCTTGGGAACCAGACACAGGGTGCTAGGGCTGATTACCCAGAAGAAGGCTTGCATATAAGCAACAGCCCTGTCCAAACTAAGTAGTCCAGACCCCAAGGGCTCTCTGTGCTGGCTCCGATCCCGGGGTGCGGGCCGTGGACTGGGTGGCGATTGGCGCTGGGAGGGATGGGCTGCGAGGTGACTCGTCGTTAGGTTTTTATTATTATTAAACATTTCCGCGTCCCAGTGGCTGTGCACAGAGCTCGGACAGAGGTCTAGAAAAGAAAGGTTCCTGCCCCCGTCGGCTTACAATCTAAGCTAGGCAAACCTAGGACACGCTGCGGGCACGGGCCAGGGAACCGTAAATAAATAGAAAGATCAGTCGGGTTATAGTGTCACAAGTCTGAGAACGTCCAGGATACATGGCTGGCTGCTGGCAGCCAGCGACGCGCTGATCCCCATGGAGCCCGGCCAATTAACACCCGTGTGGTCCGGCCCCACTGATCCCTGGCCGATTAATACCCCTGCGTGGTGTGGCCCCACTCACCCAAATGGAGCCATGGCCGAATAGCACCTCTACGTGGTCCACCCCCCCCCTCCGGCTCCCACAGAGTCACAGCCGAGGAATCCCAGCTAGGACCTGGCCCCACTGACCCAATGGCGCTAGGCCGAGTGACCCCAGCTAGGGCCTGGCCCCCCTGACCCAATGGCGCTAGGCCGAGTGACCCCAGCTAGGGCCTGGCCCCCCTGACCCAATGGCGCTAGGCCGAGTGACCCCAGCTAGGGCCTGGCCCCCCTGACCCAATGGCGCTAGGCCGAGTGACCCCAGCTAGGGCCTGGCCCCCCTGACCCAATGGCGCTAGGCCGAGTGACCCCAGCTAGGGCCTGGCCCCCCTGACCCAATGGCGCTAGGCCGAGTGACCCCAGCTAGGGCCTGGCCCCCCTGACCCAATGGCGCTAGGCCGAGTGACCCCAGCTAGGGCCTGGCCCCCCTGACCCAATGGCGCTAGGCCGAGTGACCCCAGCTAGGGCCTGGCCCCCCTGACCCAATGGCGCTAGGCCGAGTGACCCCAGCTAGGGCCTGGCCCCCCTGACCCAATGGCGCTAGGCCGAGTGACCCCAGCTAGGGCCTGGCCCCCCTGACCCAATGGCGCTAGGCCGAGTGACCCCAGCTAGGGCCTGGCCCCCCTGACCCAATGGCGCTAGGCCGAGTGACCCCAGCTAGGGCCTGGCCCCCCTGACCCAATGGCGCTAGGCCGAGTGACCCCAGCTAGGGCCTGGCCCCCCTGACCCAATGGCGCTAGGCCGAGTGACCCCAGCTAGGGCCTGGCCCCCCTGACCCAATGGCGCTAGGCCGAGTGACCCCAGCTAGGGCCTGGCCCCCCTGACCCAATGGCGCTAGGCCGAGTGACCCCAGCTAGGGCCTGGCCCCCCTGACCCAATGGCGCTAGGCCGAGTGACCCCAGCTAGGGCCTGGCCCCCCTGACCCAATGGCGCTAGGCCGAGTGACCCCAGCTAGGGCCTGGCCCCCCTGACCCAATGGCGCTAGGCCGAGTGACCCCAGCTAGGGCCTGGCCCCCCTGACCCAATGGCGCTAGGCCGAGTGACCCCAGCTAGGGCCTGGCCCCCCTGACCCAATGGCGCTAGGCCGAGTGACCCCAGCTAGGGCCTGGCCCCCCTGACCCAATGGCGCTAGGCCGAGTGACCCCAGCTAGGGCCTGGCCCCCCTGACCCAATGGCGCTAGGCCGAGTGACCCCAGCTAGGGCCTGGCCCCCCTGACCCAATGGCGCTAGGCCGAGTGACCCCAGCTAGGGCCTGGCCCCCCTGACCCAATGGCGCTAGGCCGAGTGACCCCAGCTAGGGCCTGGCCCCCCTGACCCAATGGCGCTAGGCCGAGTGACCCCAGCTAGGGCCTGGCCCCCCTGACCCAATGGCGCTAGGCCGAGTGACCCCAGCTAGGGCCTGGCCCCCCTGACCCAATGGCGCTAGGCCGAGTGACCCCAGCTAGGGCCTGGCCCCCCTGACCCAATGGCGCTAGGCCGAGTGACCCCAGCTAGGGCCTGGCCCCCCTGACCCAATGGCGCTAGGCCGAGTGACCCCAGCTAGGGCCTGGCCCCCCTGACCCAATGGCGCTAGGCCGAGTGACCCCAGCTAGGGCCTGGCCCCCCTGACCCAATGGCGCTAGGCCGAGTGACCCCAGCTAGGGCCTGGCCCCCCTGACCCAATGGCGCTAGGCCGAGTGACCCCAGCTAGGGCCTGGCCC